TTATTTGCTCTGTTAGGGACCCAAGCACCAGTGTTTTCTAAAAGTTCTCCAGGTGATTCTCTTGCAGCGAGGGTTAAGAACCACTGACTCTAGACTAGAGCTTGCAACAGCGTCATTTTCATTAATTTCTGTCTAGCAGTTTGCAAATTGTTTTATATACTTCACAGTTTTCAGAAACTTTCCACATTTCTTTATTTAATTCTTGCAACAGTGCTATTAAGCAGTAGTATTTTCTTTTTATTGATAGAGTAGAAAGGACATTTTTGCTGCCTTTTAAAATATCCAATGTGCACATGTGCACACTATGAATTGTGTATGTACGTGTTTAGTTATTTTTGGATGACAAAGTTAGAGATTTTTTAAAGTATACTTGTGGTGTTTTTCATATTTTTTAATAATGAATGTGAGTTATCTTTATAGTAGATTCAGAAATAATAATAAAATGACCTAGTGGGTGAAGGCTATGTTTAAGATGATGTACAAGAAAGGCCTTTTAGAAAAATGATTTCATTAGTAAAATATTGGTTCAGTAAAAGAGAGACCAAAACACATGTGTAAACAATTAATACAAGGCACAGTCTATGATTATTTTAAGATACTGCATGCAGTTGGGGAGAGGTTCCTGGAAACATTAAATGTTACTCAGTTTGGCTTAAACTCTGAATCTTCCCTCACTTCTCCAACAGAAATTTTATGACTAAGTATTTTCTATATTTCATAGTTTCTGTAACTGTTTAAGGGGAAAAGTTACTCAAGCCACACTTTTTTTGGCAAAATTCTAATTAAGTGGATTTTTTGTTTATTTTTTGTTTTGGAGGTATTTCTCAACTTGAAAAGGAAAATGGCAAACTTTGTAAGGACCAATTTGCCTTTGGAGAAGAAAACCAATTTACAATCCAGAATCCTTTTTTCCTAATTCTGAAATACAGAAGTTCTGGAAACTGAAATTTTTTAAAAGTTTGGTGGCAGAAGTGAGGCTATTTATAGTCTTGATTTATCCCAGTTGATGTGAATATGCGTATATTTCATTGCACAAATATTTCCGTGATTGATTGAGAGACATTTCAGAAGCTACTGGAAGGTTTAAATTAATGTTGTATATACACCATTGTACTCTTCTAAAATTGAAAATTCTTTATTCTGAAACATGGCTAGCCCCAACAGTTTCCTTAAGGATTTGTGAACCTGTACAGATTTATCTTACATCAATAAGGAGATGTTTCTGGTGTCATCTTCCTTTGGTGTATACATTTTTACTTTGCCATTTTACTTTAGACCCTAAAATCACGCAAAGAACGTTGCATTGTATTTTATGTAATTTCGTAATAACCATATGTTACGTCTGTGATAGTTTAAGGTGTGATAAGTTCACTTTGCTTCCTTTTTTTTTTTTTAGAATATCTTTACTGCTCAATTTATTTTCTTGTTTTGTTCTTCAAGCAATCAAATTAGGCTTCAGTGTACATAAAACTTTCAGTCAGCTCCCTCATCCTGGTCATGCTACTGTCCTTTGGACCAGTTCACATTTCCATGGCACTTGGCAGATTCCTTGAAGCAGAAAAGCTTATTTGGTTAGGTTTCCGTAGGAGCTTTGATAGCATAAGTCTCATTGGGAGGTAGGAATAAAAATGGTTGTTCACTCTGCACAAATGTGTCTACATGGTGTGGCTTGGTGGAATCTAAAGGGGATGTGGTTTTTCTTTTCATTTCTCACCTGTGGCATTGTAAAAGTTAGGAATCCATAGATGTACTTTGCACCATATGAAAGTTGGGAGTTGAGAGTCCTTACTGACAGGATGGGGTTGCGCACGATGCTAGTTTGGCTGGCATCTCACCTCTGTTCCATCAAGGGCTGAATCGAAATCCAGGCCTTGTTTACTGCTAGCATCCAACCTAAGCCTTAACTCCGTTATCAGTCAGGAAATATAGAATATATTCATTATATAGCATCGTACTAGGTCCTGGGCTGGATGAACGTCATAGCTTTTTAAAATATGAGTATTATTTTGTGTGGGGGAAGGGTGATACTTTTCCATAAAGGAATTAATTACAATATAGTTTCTAATTCAACAATGTGTAAAACAAGCCCGAAGTCATAGATTATGAAAGCAATCAAAGCTAGAGTGTAAAATTTCAGTTTTCTTAAATACTATGTACCTTTATAGTAGATTCAGTGTACCTATTGGGTTACTACAGTTCCATCACTGAATGTGTGAAAATCTTGTCCTCATGGTTTTTATGTTTGCAAGCTGATGGCACACCAAATGTCTAGTGCATTCCTGTGGTACAGCTGTTGAAACAATAAGGGACAGCAAAATTGGATCCTTTTGTGTACCTCTGCCTGTTGTTGCCTGTTTGTCATGGCGCAAGTAGTCTCTGTGAGTCTCACATTTTAAAATTTTATAGATGTGGCTTATGGAACCTCCATGTACACTAAAAAAAAGAGATAATATTTTAACAACTGGCACGTTGCAGGTACTTGAAGATCTGATGGTTTTGTGGGTTTTGAGGAGTGGGAATAGGCCTGGGTTTACATTGGAGCACTGCCTTTACTAGTTTTATAATCTGGTTAACTTTTCAGCATTAGTTTCCTCTTTTGTAAAATTGGGATATAGTTTCAGATTAGTTATGAGGATAAAATAATATACATAAAGCATTTTCCTGTGTGTGGACTGTGGAAGCCATTTAAGCAGTGGTCGTGACTGCTGGTGGTATTTTTGTTGTCGTAGCATAATTTGATTTTCCTTTTAAGTAAACTAAAGCAAGTGAAATTCACCGTGGAGTGTGCATAGTATATGTAGTTTGTCTTGCTGAGAGCTGCCATTTCAAAGATAATATCTTTAGATTGAGTTAATTAACCACTCCTTACTAGAATAATGTCTTTTAAGTAGGTCATAGTAAGATGTAGTGGAAAGAATTCAGGACTGGAAATGAGAAGCCTTGGCTTCCATTTCTCACAATGCCACTTGTTAGTTTTGGGCAAGCTCCTTAACCTCTCAGGCTCATTTTCTCTTTTGTGAAATTGTGAATACCTGCCCCATGTACCATAGGGTGCTTGGAAAAACCAATTGAACTTTTTTTTAAAGTGCTTTGCAAATTGTAAAGTAGTTTATAATTGCAACGAGTAAATAGTATTTGCAAATGATCTGAAGGAGTCCCCCCAAAGTCCTACTCTGTAGTATTTGGTGGTGTGTGATGGGGTTGGAGTGGGTAGAAAGGATCCTTTTTTTTTTCAAAGTGTATTTCTCCCAAAAGGTTAACATCGTTAAGGTTTTTATATTTGGAACTTTCTCTCTCTAAATGTGATAGAATTTAGTGTTCTCTTCCCTGATACTGGTGTGCTTTTTTTTCAGGGAAGGGACATCTTTATTTAATTTTAAAAATAGATAAATAAACACTTTCTGATGATAGGTTTCTAAGTTGTGACCTTTGTAATAACTTCTAATTTATAGTTTCCCTAAAATACAAACACCAGCATTCCAAATAAGAAGTGAATACCACACCAAGTGCCACACTTTCTCTTTTCATTTTCATAACTCCTCAGGGGCAGGGAAAGCCCTCTTTACCTCCATGGGTAAAAGAAAAATCCCCACTTTTAGTCTTGTTCATATACCTGGCAGGACCCCTTTTTATCACTCATTTGAATTGGGGGAGATGGAAGATGGGGACTGGTGAGACTAGGCAAAGGGAGGTATCCTAACTCTTTATTTATTTATTTTTATCATTATTATTATTATTTTAAATTTATTTTTGTTTTTTAATCCTCACCTGAGGATCTTTTTTCCATTGCTTTTCAGAGAGAGTAGAAGGGAGAAAGACATCAGTGTGGATTGGTTGCCTCCCGCATGCGCCCCAACTGGGGCCCGGGACCAAGCCTGCAACCAAGTTATGTGCCCTTGGTCAGATTCGAACCTGGGACTCTTTAGTCCGTGGGCTGACACTCTAACCACTGAGCCAGACTGGCTGGGGCTATCCTAACTTTAATAGTTACTTCACAGCTAAACCTGCTACCCTGAGAATAGGTACATGGCAGTTTCTGTTTTAGGCAAAGGGAAAAATTGACTAGTTCCCCTCAGGAAAGAATATTCATTTGCATTTCAAAATAAATGAATTAAAAACATTTTTTTTTTAATACAAAGTTTTCAGCAACTGTGTTTTTAACAGCATTTCTTACTCATTATGAGCTATTAAGTTGGTTTTGTGGACTAACCTGAAAACAAACTTTTAGCATTGGCTCTGCGGGAAACTTGTCTGTTTTTGGTGTGGTAAACATTTTTAGTTTCAACCACCAGTCAGTTTTGAAGATGAGGGTTGGGAGGCCTGTAGTCTATCTGGAAGCTATTAACAGTTTTCATTCTGAAGCAATTTCTACTTGCCTAATCAGTTAAGTCAGTTATTATGTTAAGTGCCCAGCAGAATTTAGATGTAGGCCTTTGGAGAAATACAAAATGAGCATAAGGGCAGTGGCTGTGCATAAGGAATTTCTTCTCTAATGGTGAAGCAAGAGGCCATTGATACAGAATCGACTGATGGGTTGTAAGGTGTAGACCAAGTTTGACAATTTTATTTCAGAGAAAGCTTGAAGAAGAGAACTTAGGGAAGGCTTTGGTGGGGGTTATGAGTCCTGAGCTTAGCTATCAGACATCTGGTTATATCTGCAGTTAGTAGAATACCATTGAAAGGTTCTGCTACTTCTGGGAGTATTGAAGCTAGAGAATTCGAGTGGTGGAAGAAAAATGTATCATATATATCAAGTCAGTTAAGATGATGGGTTCATACGTAGGATTAATTTTTGCACAGTTTATTTTAGTGAAAAAGCATGACATTGTTAAAGCTTTTTTTGTTTGGGGCAGCTGTGAGCAGGTGGTTTAGAAGCAGTCAGCATTGGCTTTGTCAGATGATTGGGAGTAGAGAGTGATGCTACGGGGTAAACGTCTCTGGATTTTTTTACTCTTAAGTAATAAAGTATTGGTTGTTAGCCCATTTTCCTTCTTTCGCAGGTAAAAAACAGGAAGCAGATGAGTTGAGTGGAGATGCTTCTGTGGAAGATGATGCTTTTGTCAAGGTAAAGTGTTAATTACTCAGGTTAAGATGTTTATTTTGAGCCTAGCATTTTGCATGATGAACTCATGCATTTTAATTGAATGATACTGAAGTATGTAGGTAGAACATAGAGACTATTATAATAATGTCAATCTCATTAATTCTCATAGTTGAAAAATATAATAAATAACTTTAGTTAAATGAGAATAAAGCTAAAAATAATGTTTGTCTGAGTTTTTAAGTAGAAATCTAAGACATAGGGGCCAGAGAAATAGCTACAGGACAATTGATGTGCTAGTTCTTGGACAAGGTACTACAATGAAGGGCATTGATATTTTCTTTCTTTAAAAAAAATGTTTTTATTGATTTTAGAGAGAGAGGAAGGGAGGGAGAGAGAGAAACATCAATTGCTTGCCTCCTGTATGCACCCCAACCACGGATCAAACCCCCAACCTGGGTATATGCCTGACTGGGAATTGAACCCGAGACCTTTCAGTGTATGGGATGATGCTCCAGCTGAGCCACACCAGCCAGACAATAATTTATTTGTCACCTGCCTATTGCATTTAGCTTTTGTATATAATATACAGAACCTAGATTAATGTAGTCCTTAAAATAGAGAGAAAATTGCTGCTGTTTTGCTACTTGGTAAAGATCAAATAAAGAAATTGGTTTTGTGCTTTAAAGATAAATAAGCCAGGCCTTTTGGCTCAAAAAAAAAAAAAAAAAA